AATCGTGGTTTTCTCTCCAGTTATGAGAGTCGAGGTACAATATTAGAAACACTGTTAATCGTGGTTCTCTCTCCAGTTATGAGAGTCGAGGTACAATATTAGAAACACTGTAATTCGTGGTTTTCTCTCCAGTTATGAGAGTCGAGGTACAATATTAGAAACACTGTTAATCGTGGTTTTCTCTCCAATTATGAGAGTCGATGACCGTTGTTCTCTTTCCCTTGCTGCCTGCACCAGATTTCTTAATTGTAACTTTCATCTCCAGCCCACTTTCTAATGTTATCGAACAAAGGGAGTCTCTTTCTCTCAGATTTAATCATATGCCAAAAGTAACGCTTCTACCTTTAAAAACACTATATTACATACCAACTGTTTGAGCACATTCATTTACCTGAAATAAGGCAGTTTTCTATTTCTAACTTATGTCTAACAAGAACATGTTCGGAACAATGAATCACTGTTCTTTCACAGAAATCCAGGATGGCACGTATCCGCATTGCCAAGGCTACCAGCGGGGCAGCTTTCGTCAGCAAGAAAAAGGCCACCGAAGCCAGACTCGCAGCCCAAACAAAAGATGATGATGACGATGATGATATATTTGAACTTCAACATCACCATCTTCTTCACTGCTTAGAGAAAACTACTGTGAGTATTATTAGAGAAGACTACTTTAATTATCGTTAGAGAAGACTACTTTACATTCTTCTGTGAATCTGACAGATAAGATAATAATCAACATTATATAAATAACCTATTCTTCTGTGAGTCTGACAGATAAGATAATAATCATTATTATATGAACTACCCAGTCTTCTGTGAATCTGTCAGATAAGATAATAATCAACATTATACAAACAACACAGTCTTCTGTGAATCTGACAGATAAGATAATAATCAACATTATATAAATAACCCATTCTTCTGTGAATCTGATAGATAAGATAACAATCAATATTATATAAAAACAAAGTCTTCTGTGAATCTGACAGCTAAGATAATAATCAACATTATATAAACAACACAGTCTTCTGTGAATTTGACAGATAAGATAATAATCAACATTATATAAATAACCCATTCTACTATGAATCTGATAGATAAGATAACAATCAATATTATATAAAAACAAAGTCTTCTGTGAATCTGACAGCTAAGATAATAATCAACATTATATAAATTACCCATTCTTCTGTGAATCTGACAGATAAGATAATAATCAACATTATATAAACAACACGGTCTTCTGTGAGTCTGACAGGTAAGATAATAATCAACATTATATAAACAACACATTCTTCTGTGAATCTGATAGATAAGATAACAATCAATATTATATAAAAACAAAGTCTTCTGTGAATCTGACAGCTAAGATAATAATCAACATTATATAAACAACGTTTTATCTCACAGATTGAAACTATCATTTGTAATTTCTAGTTTATCTGACAGTTTTATCTCATCAGGTTGAAACTATCATTTGTAATTTCTAGTTTATCTGATAGTTTTATCTCATCAGGTTGAAACTATCATTTGTAATTTCTAGTTTATCTGATAGTTTTATCTCATCAGGTTGAAACTATCATTTGTAATTTCTAATTTATCTGATAGTTTTATCTCATCAGGTTGAAACTATCATTTGTAATTTCTAATTTATCTGATAGTTTTATCTCATCAGGTTGAAACTATCATTTGTTATTTCTAATTTATCTGATAGTTTTATCTCATCAGATTGAAACTATCAATTATTGATTGTCTAATTTATATAAGTTTTATCTCATCATGTTAAAATATAAATTATTAATTGTCTAATTTAATTAAGTTTTATCTCATCATGTTAAAATATCAATTATTAATTGTCTAGTTTATATAAGTTTTATCTCATCATGTTAAAATATCAATTATTAATTGTCTAGTTTATATAAGTTTTATCTCATCATGTTAAAATATCAATTATTAATTGTCTAGTTTATCTAATAATTTTATCTCATCATGTTAAAATAGCATTTATTAATTTGTAGTTTATCTGACAGTTTTTATCTCATCAGATTGAAACTAACTTTTTTTACAGTTTTAACTTAGGAGGAAACCATCTTTTAGTGGTATTCGTTTGTGAAAGGGTTTTAATATGTAAAGAAATTAGTCTGTCTCTATACACGTAGATAAAATTTATTGCGATACTCTCCAGGATCGAGAGTTTGTGGAGGTAGATGTATCACATGCTGTTCAGCCCAACCAAGATTCCTCCACACCGCCCCTGTCGCCTTCTCTTACCCTCGCTTCCAGACGAAGCAGTCTCCTCCGGTCATGTTGTGGGAGACGACACAGCCGCAAGAGATATCAGGTAAGAATATTAATGAAGGAGATGTTCAGCTTGTAGTATCTATTGTATGTAGTAACATATGACATAATAACAACACGAAATATCGGGTAAGAAGATTAATGAAGGAGATGTTCAGCTTGTAGTATCTATTCTATGTAGTAACATATGACATAATAACAACACGAAGTATCGGGTAAGAAGATTAATGAAGGAGATGTTCAGCTTGTAGTATCTATTCTATGTAGTAACATATGACATAATAACAACACGAAGTATCGGGTAAGAAGATTAATGAAGGAGATGTTCAGCTTGTAGTATCTATTGTATGTAGTAACATATGACACAATAATAACACGAAGTATCAGTAAGAATGTTACATGAGCACACTCGTGTCGTGGCCAATAGTTGAAAGGAATTGGTTAGCAAGACACTGTAGTAATATTAATGTTACTAAAGACTGTAGTAGTGTCAATGTTATCATACACTGTAGTAATGTCAATTTTACCAGGTACTGTAGTAACATCAGTGTTACTAGATACTGTAGTAATGTCAATGTTATCAGATACTGTAGTAATATACATTTTACCAGATACTGTAGTAATGTCAATGCTACTAGAAACTGTAGTAGTGTCAATGTTATAATACACTGTGGTAATGTCAATTTTACCAGGTACTGTAGTAACATCAGTGTTACCAGATACTGTAGTAATGTCAGTGTTATCAGATACTGTAGTAACGTCAGTGTTAACAAGAAAATTTAGTAATGTCATTGTTGTCACACACTGTAGTAATGCCAGTGTTGTCAGTCACTGTAGTAATGTCAATGTTATGAGACACTGTAGTAATGTCAATGTTATTACACAGTGTAGTAATACTAATGTTGTCAGACACTGTAGTAATGCCAATGTTGTTATACACTGTATTAATGTTAATATTGCCAGACGCTGTATTAATGTCACTGTTATCACGACATTGTTATAATATCAGTGTTGTCAGTCACTGTGGTAATGTCAATGTTACCAAACACTGGAGCAATGTCAATGTTTCCACACAGTGTACTAACACTAATGTTGCCAGACACTGTAGTAATATCAATGTTCTTATACACGGTATCAATGTCAATCTTGCCAGATGCTACAGTAATGTCAGTGTTGCCAGAGCTATTATCTGCTAAAAAGACATTGTAGTGATGTCAATCTTGCCAGATGCTACAGTAATGTCAGTGTTGCCAGAGCTATTATCTGCTAAAAAGACATTGTAGTGATGTCAATCTTGCCAGATGCTACAGTAATGTCAGTGTTGCAAGAGCTATTATCTGCTAAAAAGACATTGTAGTGATGTCAATCTTGCCAGATGCTACAGTAATTTCAGTGTTGCCAGAGCTATTATCTGCTAAAAAGACATTGTAGTGATGTCAATATTACCAGAGTTATTAAGAACTAACCTCGGGCATAGCATAATTTATTTTTTCTGTAACATAACAAGCAAGATAATTTGCCAAAATCATCAGTAGATGGCGCTAGAAAGCTTGTTTTGACAAAAGAATCGCTCCTTTCACTTGTCAAGTATCCTATTGTAAGAGGTTTATTTGCAGCAGCAAACAAAGCAGGTTTTATCCCCATTTTAAGAATAACATGTTTACACTCTTTATTAACAGCTTTCTTTCAGGCTAGGCTGTTGTTACACGTTAATCCGGTACACAGTGTTACTTTACATCCCTTTCAAGCTAGGTTGTTGTTAAACGTTAATCCGGTACACAGTACTTCTCAAAGAACTCCAATTTGCATAATTATAAGGAAAATTCAATGCTTTACTAAAGCTTATGGGTGAGGAACAATATTACACCCGGGGTTTGATGTAGTTTGGCGCCACTCACTTAACTTGGAAACAATAGCCTTTGACCTTTGTTTTTCATCAATATCCTTATAACAGTTCATATGATTCACATATTTACAGTAGAGTCTTATACAGTTCATATGATTCACATATTTACAGTAGAGTCTTATACAGTTCATATGATTCACATATTTACAGTAGAGTCTTATACAGTTCATATGATTCACATATTTACAGTAGAGTCTTATACAGTTCATATGATTCACATATTTACAGTAGAGTCTTATACAGTTCGTGTGTTTCACATAC